GCAATACAACAGTCACCGGGCAACAACAACCAGTTAGTTTAGCTGTTTGGTTCATACAACTCAAATTGTCCGTATTGATTTGTATTTAAGGAAGGAAAGATGGGAGAAGCTGAGGGACAAGAACAACAACTACAAGAAAAATAGGAACGAGCAGATGAAGAAAAAAAAGGGAGAAAAAAAAAAAAAAAAACAACGACATGGAATAAGTTGAAGAAACCTTTGTTCAAAATTGTCCCTTTTTCAATTATTTTCATTCGAAGACAAATTGCACTTTCCGTCGTCATTTCCTACAAACATGTGCGTTTTCTTTCAGTTTTTTTTTTCTTTCCTTCTTCTTTCCTTTGCTGCTTCCCTTTGCCACCATCTTCCATGCATCCAAATTAACACTTGATGATCCTGAAGACTTGTCCCGCTTTTTCTTCCAATAATCAAATTTTATTTTTACTTTTTTTTTCTTCTTGTTTTTTTCCCCTCCCCCTCTTCTCCCTTTTTTTTTTTTTTTTTTCAAACAATTTGCCGCTACCGCAGAAAGAAATTGAGGAAAAAACTTGAAAAGAAGAAGGAAAGCAAAATTTTTTTCGTCAAAGGAAAAAGTGCAGAGAAAGTTTTTCCGCGGTTCTAACATTACCTGAATAAAGATTTGTTGTTTGCTAAATCATTGGACAATTTTCCGGAGATAAGAGACAATTAAATTAAGTAAAAAAAAAAAAAGCAAATTATTTCCGGACAAAATAACATCAACACCAACAAATCTTCTCCATTCTGACTTCCTTAATTACTCGGCGGCAGCAAAAAAAAAAAAAAAGAAATGGCAATAGTTTTAAGCATTAATAGTACTAATCTTTATATATTTAGAATATTTGTGAATCATTGGCAGTTATCGTGCAGTTAAAAAAGCATCCACTAGCATTAGTCGTTATTTTGAAACCTAATGCTAATGAACTAAGCTTTATTTTTTCTTGAGAGGAGGGAGGAGGGGAAGACTAACCATGACGGCTTTGGTCACTTTTTTATTGTTGTAGGGTAGAGTTATTATTTATCCGTTCTCATATTTCAAAATTTGAAAGAATAAGTGTGAAAAGTTTTTTTTTTTTTTTTTTGAGACTAATTATTTGCACTAGTTGTGCATCGCAGACCAGAGTAAGTTTATTTTGGTCAATAGAACATTGAACTTACCGAGTAGTCAACGCTACAATAGCTTCCATTTTATCACCACTTTTGCTCTCTCCTTCGAATTACCGACACTTTGTAAGAAAAAAAAAAAAACAGGGTAACAGACACGGCGGGGGAACACAGTGACAGTATCGGCGCAAATGCAGTATTAAAAGTAACAGCGATACATAATTGCTGATAAGCAATCGGTAAACAGTATGTGTCAATTTTTTCATCCGTCTTAACAGTATTCATCACTTAAGCAAACAGTAAACCAATTTTTTGTACATACAAAAATAAATGCGCCCAATACTTTGTTTCTAAAACCCAACTTTTTCCTCCTTTTTTTTTTTACTTCTTAATCACCTTTCTGCTAATTTCCTCAAAATTTCTGGTTTTAATTAAGTTACAAAAATTTTGTCCTTCAACATTGGTCAAAGATCATTGTCAATAAAGGTTGAAAGATATTGAATTATTAAGGAAAATATATTGACCAATTAGCGTCCTATTTTCCCACCATTTGTTCTTTTCATAAACAACGGTGAGATCAAACATTGAACTAAAATTATGGTTTTTTTACTGCAGTAACTATAGTTATCAGTAATATTTAAAGGAACACCATCAACTTATACTCTAATCTTTCATGTCATTATTTAGAGTTAACATTTTTTCTAGTTCATTTCAAAAAAAAAAATAAGATTGAAAAAAAGTAGGGAAAATGAAACTGACGGTGGATAGCATAGCGAAGAAAAGTTTAGAAACAGGCAGTGTATTGTTTTAAATATAAAAACAATTCACGACTATACCCATCGTTAAAAAAAAAAAAAAAACCTGGTAGCGTGTATAAGCAGTTGAATATTATTTCATTCCCAGATACTGAGATTATTGAATTGTATATAATCGACAAAATTATTAGTAACATAAAGTATTAATTTCAGTACAACTCGGCAATCAAAAAAATAATAAAAAATGTTATAAAATTTATAGAAAAAAAACTATAACTATTTTATAGTTAAAATTCATATAGTGAGAGCAATAATAAGTGTTTGCAACAAGAGCAAAATAATTATTGCTTAATGACTGCTGAAGATATTATACCCTCAACTTATGGATTTAATCGGCTTGTTTTCGACAAGTGTCACTGAATGTATTTTGATGTTTAAGCTAACCTTTTGCATTTATTCGCCAAATGTTCTCAAAGTTCAAGTGCGTTTGTTTATAGATTTAGCAAAAAAAAAAAAAAAAAAAAAAAAA